CCAACGGAAAACTGAAAGTCTAATTTGTAACCAGATTTCTTCTACATTACAAGTGTAATTGGAGATGTAAGCTACTTAGAATAATTAGCAACAAATCATTTTGAGTGTTTGGACCATAATGAACAAAGATTCTCTGCTTCTTATTTGTAAAATAATTGGAGAAAGTGATGAATGTATGAGTTTTTAAAAAAAAAGTAAAGAAAATTTGGGAAATACTGAAAGATATCGAGATAGTGGAAAGTTCGATTAATGCTGTCCGGGCTAGATTGGATATTGAAATGGTGAGACATTGATTCAATAGGACATGCTGTACTGGACTGGTTCATTCGTCAGACCCATAAAAACAATAAAAATGTTAAAACAAAGCACAAAAACGCAAAAAATTGAGAGAACCTGGAAAAAACTATAGAAAATATAGAAAATATAGAAAATATAGAAAAAATAGAAAATTTTAGAAAATTATTTGGAACAAAAAGAAAATCATAACATACCATGTTTCCTTATCTCATGAAACACTCAAATATCCCACTAAGCAATAACATTGAAATTGAAGGCAGAAGCTCAGAAGACATAAAACCATGATGTCGAGTTAAAAAAAGAAGCACAAAATTATAACTAGGGAACCATGTCCAAAAATGATCTTTCTCTAGCCTCCATATTTCAATTGAAGTATTAATAAGAGAAATGGAATATGGTAAGGCCTTCAAGTGAAGCATTGAAGAGTGTCACTTAGTTGGAGGATGCGTTTGGGGTATCTGGCTTTCAGGTATTCTTAATAAATAGTTCCTATTGGAGTGCTGGCGATTCTTGTCTCTTGTCTTTCGTCTTTTGTTTTTTTACCTTCACCTTTCTGACTTCTTTATACTCGTCTTTTTCTCTTACTTCCGTCCTCCTCGTAACTCTATTTTCTTTCTTCGCTTTCTACCTCTGTCTCTCTCCTCTCCCTTTATCACCTTCTATTCCCATTTCATTGCTATCTTCCTCTTTTTTGTGTTTCCTTTGCTCAGCTTCTAACATCATGTGGACTGACCTATATACTAGCTTTAAATTTTATATCTAGAGCACCGGACCTGTAGGACGCTTTTATCTTTCATATACCATGAGTACCTATTTTGTGGGTTGCTGTCAACCTTGTCCCTGACATCATGTGGGTTGCCTATGACCTCTACACTAGCTTCAAATTTTATATCTAGAGCACCGGACCTGTGGGATGCCTTTGATCTTTCATATACCATGAGTACCTATTTTGTGGGCTGCTATCAACCTTACCCCTCGTGAGCTTTTATACACTTACTATTTCATATGTACTTACATATATCATCACCCTTTCCAAAAAAAGAAAAAAAGAAAAGAAAAAGAAAAACAAGTAATTGAAATTACAAAACATTTATATACCAAAAAATGTACAAAATCCGCAAAATAAGCAACACTATGATAATTCAACTATTAAAGCCCAAAGAACCTTTAGATGGAATTCAAGAAACATCTAATTGGAAGTCATTTAAAATGAGGAGTGAAAGGATGCAAGGGATATTTTAGGAAGATGATTACACACAAAGAAAAGGTAAATCCTAAATGAAGATTGTTTATTGGATATTTGCATAAGACACTCTTGTTTGTTCATGAAAAGGCAATATGTAACAATGCCACAGCTCCATGTGGACCATAGTTGTTGAGGCTGGGGCGGGTTCGGGAGTAGGTTCGGTTCGGGGAATGCTGAACTGCCACAGTATGGAAGCTCCTGTGGATTTGATCTACATCCATACATTTTATAAGTTAAGGAGCTAGATCCTAGGATATCTCAGAACGAGATCTCATATCACTATGATCGATGTTTTGACTTGGATGATCTAATAATCAACTATAAAATGAGATCAATTAACAATATATGATACAACTAGAATCGAGCCAATACCCACTCGATCCATCGTCACACTTATTAACAATTAAAACGAGATCAAGTAATTATACATAAAACGAGATCAATTAACAATATATGATACAATTAGGATCGAGCCAATACCCACTCGATCCATCGTCACACACATTAGCTTATTACCAATGCCATAGCTATAGTACTTCAATTTATTACAATAATAGAGTTCAATACGATCATAAATTGGCTTACTACGGTACTAAATTGTAATTTTTTAATGCCAAAATTCTGGTTTACCATAATATGATATGCACCAGAATTAAACGTATTATAAAGAAAGTATAATACTAAAGAGAGGAGCAGTAGTTCAATTAATAGTATAACTCCTCTTCTTGGAGGGATCCTACAAGCATGTAGACCGAAATTCCATTTTTTAAGGAGAGATATCCCTATTTCTCTAAGCCTAGCTCTGTTTAAGATTCTTCAGAGGAACTGCGAGATCGAGTTCCTAAGGTGGGGCCATGGCCTTACCTTTAAGGTTCCCGTAACTATGATGTGGATAAGCAATAATTGTGTGGTTCGAGGATACCAGTTATAAACAAGGTTAAAGTGCACCATACAACCTGGGGATTTGATTGCTGCTGCATTTGTGTGCGGTGAAAGAGGGTCCTTGTCAAATAGTGCATTGATGTGGTTGATGTGGCTGCTTTTATGTAATTATTGCCAAATTGTCTTTTTCTATTTTTTATCTAATGGCTATTGGAACTTCTTCCGATGGATAACTCTGTGGCCTTCCTGCTTTACTAGGATCTATAATTTTCCACAATGTGCGAATTCATCATTACCTTCGACTTCTGGTGATAAATTTGCATATTTTTGGGCAATGGGTTTTTCTTTGATTAATTAGAATTGTTTTGACTTTTAATTAGAAGTTAAGTTTTGAGGATTGAGGCTCTATTGGATTGTTCTCTGGCTAATGATCCTTCACGTGGCCCCTAATTGAGTTCTCAACCGTTTAATTCACAATTGTCTGAAAAAGAAATAGATGGCAGGTTTACTCCAATACATAAATAAAATATTCATTTGCCATTTTTATGGCAATACTTGGCATACCTCATGATGAAATCATCGTGAATATATGTTGAATGGTTTTTTATTACATGTATTTTTCCTTCCACTTGTAATAAGAGCATATTTTTCATCTCTTATTAATAGTTGAACATTATTTGATACTTGATTGTCATTCTAGGACTATACAGTTTGAAATTGTGATGCGAGTGAAAGGAGTGGTTATGTTGAACTCAACGTATTAAATTAGACTTTTATTCTTCTTTTTTTTCCAGTATACCTGAATTCTGGACTACTATTATGTTGTTGTAAATTAAAGTAATACCCTAGATACAATTTAGGATCTTTATTTTCACTGTCAAAAGAAATCGAAACTATCCAAGTGCTTTAAACAAACTTCCATTGTAATTTTTGGTACAGTACAAGTTCTTGAAAATTCATAAAAAAATAAAAATAATTCTTAAAATTAATTAAAATTATTGGGGGGACTTACTGGAAGATGCTTGGAGTTGCCCGGAGTTGCCCTCATAGGTCTTAGTATACCCCACACTTGATTCCCTGAACAATAACGCATTTTGACTCAAAGTGTTGCTGAAAATTCTGAAATAGGAAGCTATTTAGGCAAATACTTATTTCTCTAAGATTTTAGAGAGCTAAAAAATTCAACTAGAGTTTGTATAAATCCTATAGGAACATACTGGGGTAAAGCTTATTTTATTTTTCTCTGGGCTTGCTGTACCTCTCTTCTTCTTCAAAAATTGGTAAACCTCACATAGGGTTTGAAAGGTCCCACCTTTCTTGTTCTTTTTAGATAGAAGTTTCTCAAAATAAGAGGATGGCGTGCCTCCCTATGGGGTAAAGAGATGAAGGCACATAACTTCAATTTTTTCTTAATAGTGAAAATAGTGGCGTGAAGAAAAGAGACAGAGACTGACATGATGGAGAGAGAAAACTTGGGTATGAGAGAGAGGATTCTTTGCATGAGAGAAAGATCTTGTCATAATTTGAAAGAGGTTCAAATCGGTATTTAAATAAAATGAAATCTATCTCCTAATTTGAATAGGATTCCAATCGAAGTTTATCTTATCCAAATTTCAGTTTGACCCATAGGATAATTAGGAAATTTGTGATGAGAGATTTAATCAGAGTCATTCATCCCACAAATTCGCCATCATAATTTTGGGTGAAAAATATGAACCTTCTTCCCTTAGATTTTGACCCAAGTCTAACTCCTTTGTAAATTTGAAATATAAACAATCATATCATAATCTAGATCTGCCGTAATCAAGGATAATCTATATTTTAAAACTCCCACTAGAATAGGAAACCAAATCATATTTAAAATTAAAAGATTTCCTATCTTTAATTTAATTTAAAATTTGAACTAAATTTTCAGAAAATGGGGCGTGCCCCCCTTTCTCCTAAAAAATGACATGCGGAAGTTTGTTGAGGTTTTGGCCTTGGTTCTCAAAGGTCTACAACCGCACACTGGAGATCACATAGTTCTTCTGGCCTACAAACATCAACCCTAGGTATCTCTTCGAACTCAACAAGGGGTAATCCACTTTAAACCTTCTCAAAGTATGCCACATGACCAAAGATAAAGATTTTGGATATGACTATGGCCATAAATCGTCCAATCCTTAGTCAATCAGCACATACTCCCAATGAAGTACATATTCCACTATAAAATATCACATGAAAAATCTCCCCACGCCTTTAAAGGCCACACAACCCAACGGTCAGGTGGTACTCCTTTGTTCCACATTGCTGCGGATGTTTCCAAAGGCTAGGATTATGATTATTGGTTTATTTCTTTAATTTTTTTTATATCTTTTATTTGGATTTTATCAATCGCCACTGCTATTGCTTTTTTAGTTTATATCTGATCTTTTTAGAATGGTGTATGAAAGGTTAGTGAAATTGTTGTGGATAATTTGTTTTTTCATTTGTATGAAAGGATTTTATTTGTTTTTTCATTTGTATGAAAGGATTGTGAAATTGTTGTGGATAATTATGTTTTAATTAACCTGCATCTCTATGGTCTTCTTTGCAGCCCAACTATAACTCTTGCTCCATGTCTTCCAGTGTTATTGACGCTTCCCTAACAAGGTGTAAAGCATTTGCTGTGGATGCTTGTAGGTATGTCAAAGAGCAAATTCAAAGGCAATACTTGCTGTTGCAATTTTGGTTTGATAATGTCCTAAAATTCAATGCGCTTTAATTGAAAGCCCATATAGCTATTACATTTCCTTAGGCTATTGAACATTTCTACCCCCTTGTTCTTTTTTGTGTCATGCAATGAAGGCTCAACAAGCGTTTTTTTTGCTTTCTATTTATATTTTTATTATATTTCTTTTGGGCATTTGTTCACCATGATTGTCCCTTTTTTTTTTTGGTAGTTTAGTAGTAGGAATCGAATTTTAGATATGCGTTACAAAAATCAAGTACTAACCACTCAAGCATAAGCCCAATTTGTAGCTCGATGGTCTTTTACTTCATAAAGAATGCATGAGTTGGATTTTCACTCGCATAGAAATGTAAAGTTGTTAATCTTTGAAAAATATAAATGAAATGTAAAGTTGTTAATCTTTGAAAAATATAATGCGCGGGTTCTTTATGTCCAAAGGAAGACTATTCTTTTGAGCTTTATCCCATGTTGGCTGTATCTTTGATTCAGAGTTACAGGGCTTGTTGTGCAATGCTTATTTTTTAGTATAGTAGTCATGATTGTGAAGTTGTTTTACGCGGCAGTGATATTTATGATTCATGAAAATGTGAATGTTTAATTTATTGTCTTGGAAAAATGTTAAATTTATTGTCTCAGACAAAGGGCTTGTTGTGATTCATCAGAATGTAAAAGTTTAAATAGTTGTCTCAAACAAAGGACAGCTTGCATGTGGGATTCCTCAAATTACTTGTTGTGGTTAATTTTGTAAACTCAAATGCCACCGCTTCAGTAAAAAAAAAGAGGACAACTTGCATGGTCTTTCTTCATCATTGTTTTGTGCAGTTTTAAGGATGCCTTGTTGTTTGAGTAACTATCAGTCTTCTCAAGACTGTCGGCAATTTCCTACATCATGTTCATGGGCATGGTCTTGATGAGTACATGAAATTGAATATATGCTCAATTTTGTGGGTGGGAGGAGATGATGACCTACCTTACTATTCTCTTTTGACATCATCTTTAGAGCCTTATAAACTCCCTCTTTGGAGAGTTATGGGTTGCGAAGGATAAACATGTCAACAAGGAGGTCAATATTAGACCTGCAATCATAAGGTTCTTTCCCAAATCCTAGGTGTGTTGCAGTTAGTCCAAGGCCTTCTTTCCAGATAGTGTTTGAAACTCAGATTAGTCAACTCTAACTCGGCCGAGTTTCTCGGCCTTGGCACCCTTCCAAGGTAAGTATGTTGTACGTACTTGTTTGTGTGTGTTTTGTATCACCCCGAACAATAAAGTCCCATCGATACCCATTCAACGATCTTGGAAGGGTGGGATTCAGAGAACATGTGGGGCATGCTCTCAAGATTCTATCGGCATGATCTCAGCATATTTGGGTGGACCATTGGCCCATTTGGAGGTACCGCCGGCCTGATTGTTGCTTAGTTGGTATTGCTTCGATAAAGGGGAGGTCATGTATTGGGACTGCCGATTTCATTGAAACTTGGAGGAATGTTAATCTGGAGTACTTTAAAGTCACCCTCCAAGTTTCAAGTGACTTCAACCTTGTCACTTTGATGTAGTTTTGAAGGATCCTAAGTTCACTCGGGTTGCTGGCAGATCAACAGAGGCCTAGTTGCAACACCTTCGACTATGAACCTTGAGTGATGACAAAATAATCTAATATTTGAAAGGTATACATGAAAAAGGCATACTAAAACACCTTCGAATGTCTCGTTTTGACAAAAAACAAATACTTTGAAAGATTAATTAGTAACATGGGGAGCATTATGCAATGCTACCGTTGAATATTTCTGTTTATGAGGTGATCAAGTCTTAAAATATTATGGTTAATATTTTTAGAATGCACAAGTATTAACATCCTTTTTTTTTTTTTTCCCATTCCAGCTATTCTTGAGGAGGCCTTAGATTTATTATTGTGCAAGACAACATTATTGGGTGGTTAATTCATCTTTCTTCATCAAATCTGTGATATTAATTTCATTGAAGTTCAGAAATCTTTCATTGTCATTTTATTCATAGTGTAGATTGGGACTTTTTTTTTTTTTTGGGGTAAGTGGGGGAGAAGGCCCCCTACCCATTTTTTCATTAATAAATGAGCAGAGTAAAACAATTAACGTACAACCCTATAGTAAGGCAGTTGCGCCAGATCATGTAATAAAAGAGAGGAAAGACAATCTGGTGGTCTATGGTGCTACACAGTAGCACCGGGGCCAGCAGATGCCCTCTTAGTTAGGGCATCAACAACCATGTTTGCCTCTCGAAAGACATGTGTAATGGACCATTGATGAAAAGAAAGTTCGGTACGACAATTATCTGCAGTCGTCTTTAGCTGCCATGGAGCACGGTTCTGAATGACATCCACAAGCATGACCGAATCACTTTCTATCTGTATTGGAAAGCAATTCCTCTGATGAACCAACTGAACTCCTTCAAGTGCCAAGAATTCTGCATGGTTATTAGAAACAAAACCAAAATGCTTTGCAAAAGCAGCAATGAAACCGCCCTCTTTGTTCTTGATGACTCCTCCACCACTTGCTAAACCTGGATATCTTAAGGAAGTACCATCAATATTGAGCTTGTAATTTGTAATTTTGATCCTAAGAAAATGACCATGCCACCGGAATAAGGGATTCTAACTTATGCAAACGCCAAGTTATCTAAAGATTACCAATTATGACCTTTTCTGATAAATGGAAAGACCACTTTTTAACTTCTGCTAGTGTCTGAACGTGTAAGGTAATCCGTTTCACAATAAGTTCTCTCTTAGTGGGACTTGACTCAAGACTCTTTTGTTGCACTCTTCCCATAGAAACCAAATAGCAGTAAAAAAGATGGAAGACCAAATATTACGAAGCTCATGAGATTTAAACCTGAAAAGTAAGCACCACCTAAGTAAATCAGGGACAAAAGTTCTGAGGACAAACCGTTTTCCACATCTCCAAGTTAATGATCTCCATACACCATGCACAAAAGCACATTGGAATAATAGATGGAAAAGGTTGTCATCATGGTTGCTACAAAAGGGACATAAAGATTCCAGCTGCATGCCCCGCTGTTGCAATAAAAATGAGGTGGGCATTCGATTATGCAAGGCGAGCCATGAGAACCATTTCGCCCGTTGGTGGCATTTAGAAGACCAAAGTGCACGGAAAATAGGTTGTGATGAATTGTAGATTGGGACTTAAGACCAATCCTTTGACGTTTATCGTTTATATACTCGTCCAACAACATGTGCATTTGACGAGAGGTTATTCACCCAAAAAAGTTATGGCTTTCCTCTTTTTGGCTGATTGATTCGAGTTTTCCAATCAAGCATTAGTTCTTGCCATTCATTTCATTTTATGTTTAAGCTCTCTATAGATATTGTAAAAGAATGGACAATTTGGATTTTTTTCTAATATGTTGAGTAGTTTACTACAGGGAGGTTGAAGAGTTGGCTGATATGGATTGGGATAACCTTTTTTATGGGATTACACCAACAGACTACATGTATGTCATGAAATGTGCTAAAGGTGGACAGTTTACTAGTAGCGAATTGCAGCGCTATGGGGACATTGGATTGTGTCCGACTGCTGGCGTCTTAAACTATGGACAGGTTAATGACACTTGACCTATAGCTCTCAGCGACATCTCAGTTTCTGAAATTAGTTGCTATCTTCTCTTTGTTGTCCTTTAATATTTTTTTTATTGTTTTACCATGTCTTGAATGTAATTGATTTGTGATCCTTGAATCATTCAGTGATCGTTTGATCGGTTTGCTTTGCATATTCTCCAAATTTTTCGGTTACTAAAGGGTGTGCCATACTTTTCTCAAGGATTGCACTGAATCTTGTGTGAATCCTTCTTACCTACTTTTGGATGATATATGATTTACCCCTTGTCCGTTGACAATGGAGGTTTTTGTGGTGCTCTCTTTTGGTTTCATGATGTTCCTTTATGGTTCTTTTGTTTCTTGTTGTGCCTTGCGGTACATTTACAGGATTGGTTGATAAAATTCATGGTATTCAGTACGATAAATTTCATGATAATAGGAAAAAACTTGCATTAGTAACTAGACAAACGCTGCAGAAATGGCCGTTCCCCCTCCCCTTTGACACACACATATTTATTTGGAGCTCCAAATTGACTTTTAGTTGAAGGAGAGATTTTTGGAGGCTGTTTGGTGTCTTTTTGGATTCCTCACTAGTCAAAATCTGTGGATTTGGGATAGGGGCCATAGCTAAAGTATTGGTCCTTGGGCTCATGGATCGCATTCCCTATTTTTGAAAGGATTTTCTATCCCTCACATGCCTTTGGAACCTATGATTGAGGGTTAGAGATGCAAGTGAGTGATCAAATGATACAAAATTTCATTTGTTTTAGACATTACAAGCCACTTTTCAATCCTTTCTAAAAGGTCCTCTAGATTATCCCTTTTCTATCCCTGCATCCTTTGAAATCCCCCTTCTTCTGTGAAAGCCTAGTACAACGCCTGTCCTGTCTTGCCAGCGTGTGTTCCTAGTTGGTTGGCTCTTTGGGGCTCTATATGATCTTTTGTAGCAAACTAGGCCAGGTAATTGATAAGCATCCATTGTGTTCAATCTTTTCTTCCCATGGAGGTCCTAGTAGATGAACTTATAAAACAATTGGATAGGTTGATTGTTTATAAGTTCAATGTTGTGCTTGTAGTCTCAATTGATTTGTTTATTTAATTTTTTTATTTGATTGTTGTGCTTGTAATATTGATTGATGAAATGTCTATATAGCTTGGAAATTTATTGATATGGGTAGATTACACGAGACTGCTGAAATTGAACGCATTTGTTGTTCTATGATCAGTAATTTCTTCTCCAAGATTACGACATCTCTTGGAGATCACCACATATTCTTGTAGACTGGGTCTTATCTGTTGCATTATTCAACACCATTACTAATTAATCTAACACGAGACTGATGAAATTGAATGCATTTGTTGTTCGATGATTAGTCATTTCTTCTCCAAGATTACGATGTCTGTTTGAGATACATCACATATTCTTGTAGACTGGGTCTTATCTATTACATTATTCGATGCCGTTACCAATTTGGCAAGGTTATTCATCAGACTGCAATGTTTGCAAGTTCATGCTAATGGCTTACAAATATTCAATTATGCCCTTAATTGTTGGGTTTTTGTGGCCTTTAAAGGCCTCAAGAGCTTGTAAAAATGATATATAGTAGAATATTTACTTTAGTAGGAGTGTATATTGACTGACTAAGGGTTGGGTGGTTTATAGCCCTGGTCATGTTTAAAACCCTTGGACCTAGGCAGATGGCACACTCGAAAAGGATTTGAAGTGGGCCATCCCTTGTTGAGGTCGGAGATATGCTCAGGGATCATGTTTGTAGGACAGGAGAACTGTGCGGTCTCCTGTGTGCGGTTGTATGCCTGTGAGAGCAAGGTTCAAATTATCAACAAACTTCCGCACAACATGTACATATGACAACCGTATGGGAAGCAACCCTTTTAGAGGAACACGTGTATATGTGCATTGAGAGAGCCCCTTTTGCACTGTAGTGACAAGTGTTAGACTTGCTCTTCAAGGGAGGAACTGTAATCCACATTCCAAGATCATAGTCTCATTGTTTTATTATCCAACTTTGACGTGCCAATCATGAGCCCCTACAAAGAGACTGTGGGTCATGGGACTTTGTTGGGATAGATAAGAGAATAGTTGTGGATCATGGTTTCTGGGGCGAGTGGAGCGCCCTTAATATTGCCTACTTTGACCCATTGGTACCAGTCCGCTCCTAGTATATTTTATTTTGATATATAAATATTTCTTTGATTTTGAAATATTCTTTTTAGAATTTTAAAAATATTAGTTCTGCTGTAATTTTTATTAAAAGGGTATTATTGAAAATTTCAGATCTTAAAATAACACATGTGGGACCAAGGATCAACCCCACATGTATGTGTCCTTTTTTTTGCTGTGGACCACACCCAAATATTCGTTTTTATACTATATGTGGCTCCACACCACCTTTCTGGGAAACTAAGGGGACGCCTCAATTTTTAATTAATTCAAATGTTTGGGACACAGCTCCACACCAAAAAGGTATCACGGCCAAATTTTGTTTTAATCAAAAGTTACACGCCCAAATTTTGTTTTAATCAAAAGTTGCACGCCACTTTATGAGGAGAAAGGGGCACACCCCTTTGATTTGATATTTGTTTCAACTATGATGGGAAATCTTATAATATTAAAATAAGATTTGATATTTGATTCAAATACTATGGGAAATCCTATTGATTTAAATTTGATTTGGTTTTCCAAATATTATGGGAAATATAAATAATATTTAATACTTAAGTCTAATTTCAAATTTAAAAAAGATAAAATTGAAATTTGATTGAATTTATTTTTAATAGGAGTGGATTGGGTCAAAGTGTAAAGGGATAATGTTAATGTTTTCAATTGCAGGATGCAACCGAAAGCAGTGGGGGAGAGCCGATGCGGCGATGCAGCTCGATACGGTCTGGATGTAGGTGCATCGCGGCAATGCGGCGGTGTAGCTCGATACGGTCTGGATGTAGGTGCATCGCAGTGATGCGGTAGATAAATATAAAAAATTCTAAAAGTTCTAAAAATATAGGTTAATGCTAAAAACAAATTATGGAGGTGATATATGTGATAGTAGGTAGTTAGTTTATTTATTAACTCCAAAAGTATTAGCTGTCGGAGATTCCGTATCCACTATCCCTTGATAGAAACTAGAAACTTGAAGCGAGCTTTCATAAAACATTCAACAATCAACAACCAACAACCATAAGCACAAATTCTCAACCACAGACTTTAAAGTTACAAAAATACTACAAACTAAAAGTCCATGAAGATTAAAGAGTTTTAAAGTTACAAACCGTCGATTTGTTGTTATAATTTCGGCTAAACATCCTCAAATCAACACCAAAAAGATACAAATCAACACCCAAAAGATGCAAATCAACAACCAAGCATCAACAATTGCACAAATCGAAGAACTTCAACAAATAAAATTTCCATCCAATTTTTTTTTTTTATTCAATTGATCTAACAAGAGCCACAAATGTGGTTGAAAAAATGTTGTTTGGGTGGTTAATACCCCCAAACCCTTTCCCCCCCAATTCAAAGGTCAAAATGACCTTATTACTCCTGCTTGAAGGGTATAGTTTAGAAAGAAAATGGCAGAAGATTATGCAGCCTGATGAAGTGAGATGCGAGATGTGGCTCTGATGCAGAGAGATGCGGCACATATGTGGGCGCATCTCTCGAAACTGCATATCCGGGGATTTTTGATGCGCTGTCTAGTGCATAGCGCATGATGCGGTCACATATGCGGGCGATGCAGCCGTATTTTAAAACATTAGATAATGTTCGTAATCTTTCCACCCAAAATCATGATGGCTAATTTTTGGGATGGATGACGCTAATTAATCTCTCACCCCACGAGTTTCCTATTTATCTTAAAAAAGTGTAATAGGAAATTAGATAAGGTAAATCCTATTCAAACTAGAAGATAGGTTACCTCTAGATTTCCTTCTATTTAAAGAACTAGTTTGAACCTATTTAAGATCCAATCACAAGATTTTCTTTTTCTCCTAAAAGATCTCTCTCCCTCACGCAGCAATATTTGGGGGATCTCTCTCCTTCATGTACTAGTATTGAGGGGTTCTCTTCTCTCTCTCATGCCCCAAATTTTTTTTTTTTTGGGAGGGGGGGGTCTTTCTGTCCCACATGCACCAAATTTGGGGGATCTCTCTCTCCTCTCCCGACAAAAGTTTCTCTCTCTCTTTTATTTTACCATGCCATCTCTCCTCTCTTACCCAAAAAAGAGACGCACGCCATCTCTGTCTCTTAACCAAAAGAGAGACATGCCACCACTCTCTCTCTCTCTCTCTCCTCTATATTTTAGATGAAACCCTAAGATAGGGTTTGTTATATTTCTTTTGGAAAAAGGAATAGAGAAGCCTAGCTTAGAGAGATGAACTTCAAAGATTAGCCTATTTTATTACCATAGGGTTTTTATAAACCCTAGATTGTTCTTGAGCTCTTTAAAACCCTAGAGATAGATGGATTGCCTATAAAGCTTCTCTATCTTAGAATTTTTAGCAACACCTTAAGGAGGAAAAGTACACCATTGGTCAATGAATCGAGTGTGGGGTGTACCAAGTCCTGGTTAGGTTACTCCAAGCATCTTCTAGTAAGTCTTCCCATAAGTTTTTATTTATTTTCAATTTTATTTGTCTATTTTTCTATAATTTTTCAAGAACTTATATTATGTTAAAAAATGTTATAAAAGCTAGTTTAAAGTTCCTGGATAGTTTCTATTTCTCTTGGCAATAAAAATAAAGATCCTAAGTTGTAATTGGGGCATTGTTTTAATTTTTCAGCAATATATTGTGGCACATGTAAGCGGAATTCAAGTATTTGAAATAAAAGTAAAGAAATCTTTTGAATATAGTACCTTGAGTTCCACATAGTCACACTTTTCATTAATCAAGTTTCTTGCTGCTTGGATCTTATCTTATATAATCTTATATCGGACCTTTCTTATCTGCATTATGTCTCAGCTTCATTGAGAGAAATCCGGAAAGATAGGAAAGTTTGCAACTCTATTATAATGAATGTGCTTTTCAAAAAAGACAACCAAAAAATGTGATGAGGGTTTAAAATTTCTGAAAGTAAAGCCCCTTCCACAAAAGTATCATCGACAAGGAATCTAATTTTATGTCCATGTGGATACAACAATGGACTTTTTAAATATAACAAAGCTTAAAGGCACCCGACTAATTACTTTTCAAGAAACACCTGACTAATTACTTGGTGTAGATAGCCCTTGCGAATTGTTGACATGCATGATTGGATTTTTCCTGGCTAGATCCTTTATGGGAGAAATGTTGGACAAAACTGGGTTTGGAATTGTCATGACAGCTTTAGATTGTTAGTCGGAATGAAGAATTGAGTCCATATGGTTCCAAGGTATGTCTTGTTCTACTTTTAACAGCTCCCATGTTATTTTTCTCACAAAAAAAAAAAGAAACAAAAAAAGAAAAGAAAAGAAAACAACAACAACAATTCCCATGTTATTATGGAGTATAGGAGTATAAGGGCATGTCTTTGGTGTTTCACAACGAGTTTCTTCTGATAATTCTTTAAATTGTCCAAACCAATGGTTTAAAAAATGGACCGGTGCCCCGGATCGGGCACCCCAAAAACCCGTCCGAATCGGTGAATCGGCGACCCGGATCGAAAATCCGTCGGATTAAGCCTTAAAAAAAATCCAAAAAAATCATAAAAATTCAAGATAAATGTTGTTTTTTAGGAATCCAATAAAAAATGGGGGTACTACATTAATAAACTTAATTTTTTTGCATCAATATATGAATATTGAGATATTCTTTCCCTGTATGAAGATTCTCATCAAAGATTTATTAAAACCTAACTAAATACAATGTTATACAATGAAATATAATTATTGGTTTGCATTTTATTATTATATCATCATTTTACTATCCAAATAAGAATAAATTTGAATTTGCCTTATAATATCATCTAATTTAAAAATCTAATTTATAACTTTAACAAAAAATAATTCATTGCATAATTTCTAATGTAAATAAATTAATAAATAAAATATAAGATTTGATTATCTTTGTAATTAGTGTAATTACTAATCACAATATTAAAATATAAATGATTCAAAAAACAAGGGTATTCTCACAAATAAATAAATCTAATGTGTAATAATTAGTGTTGATGGAAATATGGAATTTGGTAACATAAATTTGCAATCATATTTTAATAAAATTAGGAAAATAAATAAAAAAATTCATATTTGCAACGTGGGACAATTGATGAAGCTACTTGAAATAAATTCTAAAGTGGTATGAGCTAGTGTTATTTTTCTCTTAAAATATCCCATAAACTAGTTTTTTTTAATATTCAATAAATCAATATTATTTTTTGGTTTTTCTGATATCCTATGAGCTAGTACTAATTTTTTAAGAAAAAATCTTATTAACAACTATAATAAAAAATAAAAAAATTCACTAAGTATTTAGAAACTCAAATTCTTTTTTTCTTTATTTTTTATCTTTTATAATATTGATAGATTGTATAGTGGAACCCAATATTTTAGATATTTTTTTATTGTTCAAAATAAAATATTTTGGATCCAAAACTGCACCATAAGTATGTTTTTTCACCTAAGGGATTAAATGTATATTGTGATCCTGCAGGAATATGGTATATGCACTTTTTATTATGTCCCTAAGAACCTTACCACTTGTAAGTTATGCGCACTACTCGCAACGCAATCCCACGTCGAAAACTAACTTAAACGAGCTCATATAAATACCATCAAATGGGCCACTTGAAACTGCATGCGCGTGAGGTAGAGAAGAATCGTGTACTTTAAAGTGCACGCATGAGGTGGAGAGTTTGTGTTTTAAAGTCTAGAACGTTCTGTGACGTGGAGCAAATGAGGTTAGATATATGATGTCATGAAACGATATGTTATGTCATATGAGAAAAATAGCCGGATCAATGATTTGTAATGTCACGAAACGACTTATGATATCATCATGAAAAACATCATCATGAAAAACGACCGGAATCGTTTCATGTGAGAAAAACGATCGGATCAACAATTCGTGATCTCATCATGTGAGAAAAACGGCCGGATTTTGTTTTATAGTTGGATTAAGATTCGGAATGATCTAGCCGATTCCCGATTCCGGATCGGATTGGCGGTTTTTCAAAAACTCGTCCAAACCATATTCTCCACCATAATTTGTCCATTGTATCTTATTTTGCTAATAGATTCCAGGGAAGCATTCTGCTGCATCCACAGTATCGATGATAGAGTTGCCTATGAAAAAACAGACATATGACATGAGATTGGGATTTCCACTTTGTGTCATTTGAGGCTCAAGGGTCAATCAGTCATAGAGGTCTTGACTGAAAGGAAAATGATGAATGTCATAAATGATTTGAGCGCATCTTGGTTTTTGATTCCTTTGTGGACCGGTTCTTTTGGAAGGCATTATGTCGACCATTGGAAAGGATCCATTCTGTGTCTTTTGTTGCAAGCGTATCTTTAAAGGTGTTTGTGCATGGTTATGCACTTGTTTTTTTGGATTCATTGAGTTATTTAGCAAGTTTCTGTAGATTTAGTTGTAAATGGTTTCAGACTCACATCCTATTATTCATTATACGACAAAGAATTTCTTGTTCAGAAATTGAGAGCTTTGATCGTAATTTTCCATCATCATCATCATCATAATTTACCATACGATATGAAATTTAAGAATCTGTTATTCTTCTTTCTGCAGGGTTTGTTTGAAGGTCTAAAAGCATATAGGAAAAAAGATGGTGATGTAGTTCTCTTTCGTCCAGAAGAGAATGGCTTAAGAATGCAGAGGGGTGCTGAGCGTATGTGTATGCCATCACCTTCAGTAGAGCAATTTGTGGATGCTGTTAAGGAAACAGTTTGGGCTAATCGACGCTGGGTACAGCAGATTCTCAAATAATAGACCCTCTTTCAAAATTCCGATATCTAAGATTTGAAATATTTAGAAGCAACCTTAATTGACTACATTGTTTCTATTGTTTTATTGCAGGTTCCTCCATTTGGAAAAGGTTCCCTATATATTCGTCCCTTGCTTTTTGGAAGCGGGCCCATTCTGGGCCTTGCACCAGCTCCCGAATACACATTTCTTGTATATGTATCGCCAGTTGGGAATTACTTCAAGGTTGATCTGCCTCCCCACCCCACACAAAAAAAAAAAAAAAAATCTGGGAATTACTTCAAGGTTGATCT